ATAACCAGATAGTTGCTGATGTAGGAGATACTTTGAAGAACAGCAGTGGTCTCCAGCTACTTTCAGCCCAGTTTCCTAGGAGAGATGACCTTTGCAGTATGCCATGTATGTCCTTTCTCTCTTTGACTAAAAAATATTGACAATTCTGAGGAAGTGGACATCTGAGCAGAGGAGAAAGGTCTTGCAGGTGCCTTGACTGACAGCCTGTAATGTGAAACCAAAACTTATTAGATACTATTCATATCAGACAAGAAGGTAAGTGCCTGCCAGTGCCCCCTCAGAACTACCCACAGGATGCAATTTAAAAAAAATAAGGCCTTATTAACTCCTCTCCTTTATATACAAAGATACTGTTAAATTATTCCTTCCAATGACTTCCTGAAGGTTGCCTTTACATCCTACTCTTACAGAGAGAGCAGCTTCCTACAGCCATTTCTTGCTCTGATGTTGCAGTCTCCTATTACTCCTCTCAATTCTGGATTGAACAAGATACTGACAAAAGCAGCACTAAGGACCACAGCTCAAATTTGTCTTCATGAAAGTTAAAAAGGATAGTTTTTGAGGGAACATGTCCTTGTGGACATCTGTAAAACATAACATCAGGGGTGATAAATTAAACAGTCTTTATTGCAGAAAAACACTCTGAAGCCAAAATGCCTCCTGCTCAACTTGTGAAACATCAGCATAGATCTTGTCTGTATTGTCTGTGGAAATGTTAAAATTTGCTGTCTAGCCTGTGCTCTTGATGTCATGTTTTCTCGGGAAGATGAGAGGGTGCAGAATGTTCTTCTATTTGCATATGACTCTGCTTTCTGGGCTTTTTTTCTTTCCTGTGTTTTGAAAGCAGACATAAACAAGTGTTAATGAGCAGTTATTAAGGAACCTCTACAGAGCCAGCACACATGTGAGGCAGAGAGTGTACAAAGTCAGTAATTCTGGCTGTGTGTATGATTCAGGAAAACCATCTAAATGTTCTGTGTGCATTGTAGATCACCAGGTGAACAACAGAAACATCCAGTGCCCTGTCTAGCTCTGCTGCTGTAGTACTTTGTAGGAGCTGCCAAGAGCTTGCCAGCTTTCTTTTGAGTCAGTAGTAAGGAAAGGGGGAATCAGCAAAGGAAAACAGAATTAAACAAAAAATAAGCATTTGAAATATAATATTCCATGTTTCACACACTTTGTACATATGTTCAGGCAACACTTTGATATGTTGGATTTGCTGAGTTTCAGCTCTGTTCTGCCTGACCTACCCACTTACCTCTTGGGCTTGTCTACACAATAATCTCCTCTGCCTGGCCTCATCCACATCAGCAGTATAGATAATCACAGGTGGTGTTCTCTGCTTCCCTGGACAGCACCAGATAACTGCCTCACACTTATACACTCATGGAAAATATTTTCTCCCAATTAATAATGAGCAGTGGAAAAAATCCCTGAAAAAAGTATTAAAGTCATTGAATTTTGTCTGCCATACACATGGGATTTATGAAGCTTAGGGTGTCTACAAGCCATCAGTAAAATAATTGCAAGATGAGTCAGGAGAGAAGGAGATGTCATGGGAAAAAAAAAAGATCTGCAAAAGATTCCATAAGAAAATGAAAACAAACAGAATTCAAGTGCTGATTCCAGGCATACATTGCTAGGAAAAATTCTGTTCAGCTCCCTGCAAGTGCTCCACAGGCAGGGTTTTCATTAAACAATCAAACAGCCAAATGAACCAATCTAATTTGTTGGGGTATCTTGCACAAGGTAATACTCTCATGAGAAACTGAATGCCTTGCCCAGGACAATCAGCTGCTGTTTAGGTACCTACAGGAGCCTCTCTTGCAAGAGTCTTTGTAAAGGTATCTTTGGTTGCATCAGATGACATTCTGAGCTCCTGTTCTGCTAAATTTTTGTAATCCAGCTGGTCCTACCTGCTCAGTACATACCACAATGCTTTGACAGTGATTACCAGAAACTGCAAAAAATTTTTCTTAACTATCTTAATTGGCTTGAAAAGACTCTTCTGTGTTACCATTTCCACACCTGTGAGAACAGTGTCTTACCTATGTGCAGCAGCATCTGTTTTACAGCAGGAACTGCCTGGAAGGAGCTCACATATATGCCCCATTCTCTTCTTGGGAAGATGGATATTTATTTGCACAGTCAAGCATATAAAAAGGTCTATACACAGAAGGAGCTGTTTGGGCTAATTTCCCAGACTGTTCAGAATTCCCACGCAGACATTTCCAGTAAAGAATACAGCATAAGTTTTATTGTGGAGACAACTGGGTGCTCAGTCATTTTCTCTCAGATCTGTCCATTGTTTCATCTGTGCAGAAAAGCCTAGCCTAGCAGGTCCAGGTAATTAATTTCCACGTTGATTGAATACCCCCATTGCCTGATATCCAACTATATCACTGCTATGACTTCAATTTCCTTCTTATATCGAAATCATATCTGAAGTTCCATAGAAATCTCCACAGTATTTTATTTGAATCAATTATTTTGTGCTTGACACTCTGTAACCCTCCATTTAATCTGGAGATGAGATGCCTTTTAAGTTTTCCTTGATGTTCTTATGCAAAACATCCTCACCAAGATAGTGGGCCTGTTTTCTTGATCTTATCCTTGTTACAGAAGTTCTTGGCATGGGCCTTCTCTGTGACTCTTTTCCTTTCATTTTCTACTTTTCTCTATCTAGTTCTCTTACCTAGATAGCATATCTGCTATTTCATGATCATCTGATATGCTCATATTTATAACTGTAAAAACTGTTCCACTCCTAAATGTTCTTTAGATTCAGTGTTCTTCCTATCATCTCCAAAGCTTTGGTTCACCATTCCCTCATTGTTACTCAACCCTTCTGCCCTATGATTCTGCATGTTCCTCTGTGGAACAGCTGCTTTCCTCCTTCTTCCTGTGGAGAAGACACAAAGTTGTGGAAGATTCTTGACTGCATTGCTGGGCTAGAGCTGCATCTGGGTTTCAACACAGCATACTGAAATTGTAGAGGATCCTACTTTCCCCAGGCAGCTCTCATGCATGGAGCTCTGCAGGAGGGCCAAAGCCACCAGCTTTGTACAGATGTACACTGTCTTTCCTCATTTTTCTTCTAGTTTAGAGCAAAGGAAATGTGCGAGCAAAGCTAAACTAAAGCAATATCTTATAGATTAAAACTATATTGGTGTATGTAATTTTTGTAAAAGGTCTTTTATTATTCACAGTTTTCTTGCTTTGCAGAGAAATGTGGAATGGAAAAGTTTTTATGAGAATGTATTCCCTGGTGAGCTTACCATTACAATTCTTCTTGATGCTAACAGAAGTCTTTTGACCAAATAAATCCCTGTACAATATTTATAGCTTTTGTTACCTAATCTACCTATGAACACTGCTTATCTCCTATACCTTTAAACATTTTAGTACTTCATGGTACTTCAGTCCAGCACCTTACATAAATTAAAAGTACAAGAAAAGTTCAGAGCAGAGTTGAGTTTGTACTTTGCTTATTACTTCTTGCTGGGTTATCATGTCAAGATAAATATAATTATCTGCAGTAATTCTAGGGTAGAACTCAAATTGCAAAAGCTGAATGGACAACACTTTTAGGACTGAATGTGTAGATTACATTATCTTTAGATGACATACTGAATACATAATACTAATGTGACCAAAGTACTTGCATTTAAATTTCATATGGCCTATCAAAACAGAATAAAACAAAACATTAAAAAAATCAAACCAAACCACCAGACCCACAAATATTTGTTTTCTGTCCTGCCAGAAATTTCAAGTAATTGAAATTTTCTGACAGGGATTTTTCTTATGCTTAAAGACAGTGGTAAGTGCACATTAATATTCAGATTTAATCAGAAGGAATCAAAATAATTATGCAAAGGGTAAGCCAGACTGTGCAAAGGCTTCTGTAAAGCTACCACTGAATCAGATATTCTGTAAACCACTTCAATATTGAACTCATAGGTAGTGAAAGACAGGAATGGAAGAAAGTTGTGAATTATAAGGGAATGGGTGAGCAATGTCCTAACTTGGGAAAAATGTGGGCAAAGTCCTAGAAAACAATAAATTAAAGAACACAAATGCTTTACAAAGGAAACAAGCATGTGGGAAGACACTGGCAGCAGCTTTCTAGTTTGCAGGCGGACTACCAAGCTGTAAACCTGGCCTAGATAAATGAGGCACATGTGGGAGGTCAGATGTGGTACAAATGGGGGCAGAGAAGAGAATGAAAACTGTCTCTGAATGTTCAACCCAGGAGGGCTTAGAACAGCTGAATATGCTCTGTAAAAACTCCCAGTGTCCCTTAAGACCTAAGGATAACTCTAGTTTTTGCCTTTAGGCTAATCAGTTGAAATGAATAGGTGAAAAGTCCTTCTGCACAAATTAATTAAAATGTTTTCTTCATTACAGGCATTTCTGTTTGGGTTTTTTGGGTTTTTTATTTTTCTTTTTTTTTATTTATTCTGTTTGTGGAGATGGGGATCCCTTTGGTTCCATGGATTCACATCTAACTTTAGTAACTACCATATTACAAAAATATTTTATTGTCTTGCTTGGGTTTTTCCTGTACTTTTTCAAGTGTTACTTTGTATTTTGGCACCACCTTAATAACACAATAGAGATGGCTGTTTCCAACTGAATAATGCTCAGAGGAACATAATAGAGATGGAGCAACAGATTACTTGTTCCCAATGGCTGTACATATAAGGCTTTCCTAAAATAATTCTCTGAAAAAGGTATCAAGTTTTAGATTAAACTGTGCTAAAGTAGAATTTTTCTAAGGGAATATGTTTGTAGTGGTCCTAACTTCATCCAGCCTTGTATAAAGCCAGCAGCACTACTGTACGTACCCTGATTGTATTACAATTTTAACTGCTCATCTTTCACATGTGTGCTCTCACGTGTTTCCTTTCTAGTGTCTCTTGCTCAAGAGAAGTTTGTACATTTATTTGAGATACCAGAATATGCCTAGAACATAAACGTGTTCTTTATTTTCTTAGGCTTTGAATTTTTTGAAACAAGTGCCAAGGAAAACATTAACGTCAAGCAGACGTTTGAACGACTTGTGGATATCATCTGTGACAAAATGTCAGAAAGTCTGGAGACGAATCCCACCATTGCTGCCAGCAACCAGAACACACAGCTAAAGGACACCCCTCCTCCACAGCAGTCCAACTGCAGCTGCTAATGCAGTTATCAGCAAAGGCAGCTCCAGTGTGTTCTATTGCCAACAGAGTATTTATGAATGGTTTATATGCCTTTATTTATACTGTCTTATTAATTTATTTGGGAGAACAGTCTTGTTTTACATCAGCTGTTTGACTGTGCATATGGGGATAGAGCAGTTTTTAGTCTGAAAGGATGATCCATATTTAGAACCTGGCTTTTGCATGCAGGGTGTATATTAATTTCTATTTTCTTTTTACTGTTTTATGTCACACTTCAGCTGGTGCCATGTCCTCAGACCATGTTTGCCTATAATTGTCTCTTGCTTCATCAGTTTCAAGTAATATAGTTGAATTGTTAGGGTAGTGGTCAGGGTGTTTTGACTTAGCTTCCTGATGCCACTTGTATATTTTCCTGACTGAAAATTAATTTAGAAGTATTATTGTAATGAGCAAATCCCTCATTCTGTCAGGTCACTTGTTAGGGACACTTCCTGGAGCACATTGCCTTGGAAAATCCACACTCACTATGTTACACATCCTGTCTGACTGAAAACTGCAGAAATCAAAAGAAAGTTAGGTCCTGGACCCAAAGCCATCAAAATTTACAACTGTTCATCAACAATTTCCAACTGGATGTGGATATACATTCCAGAGTCTCAGAGAAATTAGGTACTTCATCCTGTTTGGACAACTAGGGTACTTTTATATAAGAGCTGCATGTCTAATTAATAATTTTCTGAAACTGGACTTAATTTCTCATTCTACCATTATGGAGATCCCAGTCTTACCTATCCCTGTAGAAGTCTAGGTAGCTCTTTCCATGTTTGCCTGCATCAGACATTAACCACACAGTCCTATATTATGTCTGACAGAGACAAATCCATTGTATTTGGTTGTTCATAGCCAAAAGCTGCCTTGTCACATTGCTGTCAAACCTGCATGCTTCAGTTTTCAGAAATTTCATCTCCCATTCAGTCACTGAGACAGCTACCTCCACAGTGTCTATAAATGTCTGCATTTTACTCAGACCTATTGGAGAAATGCTGATGGTGTCAGTGAACTGAAATTTGACCTGATTTTTTTCCCATTTATTTTGGCAAGAGATTTAGGATTTTTAAACTTTAGGAGAAATAAAACTGTCAACATTTCTAATCTTAGGCTGAATACATTGAAAATATCAGCAAAAAAACGTGAAGATAGTTGAATGAAGTACACAAATTCTTTTATGGTAAAGTGTTAAAATAGTTATATTTTACAGTTTTTACTCCTTTAGTAATTGGTGGAAGTTTCTTAAATCAGTGTCCTGAAGTACTTTGTACAACTGCTTTACTTGCATCATAGTGACTTTTTTTACCCGAACAGCATAACTGAAGAAGCCCTGATTATTTTATTTTTCCTATTAGATAGAATTTAAGACAAGGCTGAAATTTTGTAAACTGTCAGAAATAGGGAAAAAAATGAAAAATTAAATAAAAGGAAGTAACACATAGTACATTGAATGACTCACAACTACAAAGAAAGCCTTCTTTACAGTTTATGTTTTTTGAAGGTAACTTATGTAACTCCTGATGCACACTAAGAGAAAATGGTCTCCTTTTAAAAATTGATTAAATAATCTAAATACACTTTGACACAATAAAAGTTACTTCCAAACAAGTGCATAGACACATGTAAAGAGGATATACCAGGAGGGGTCTAACTGGGCTGCCTAAGTTAAATTAATCAATGCTGCCTTCATTCTAGGTCTTTAAACTATGTCTGTCTTGTAAGGTGGTTTATTTAAATAGTTTTCCCCCTAGTATACATGGAGAGTAATTTACCTCCACGAAGAGAAAGCATCTCCATTTTAGAGTGGAGAACCAGCCAGGTGAAAGAGATATGTGCTATCCAAACCATGTTCCTTTCTCTGTTCAGGGTGTTTTTTTCTTCCCCTCCCCATTTAACATACTTAGCATGTTGCTAAGTATGCTGAGAGATTTTCACTAGTACATTTTCACCCCATAGGTGTCAGCTGATTGGAAAAAACAGAAGTGGTACAAAGCTGAGCAAGTTCCATTTGAGATGCCTGCTAGGCAGTTTTCCATGTGTTTCTTGTTATGTCAGCAAATCCTGGTCAAGAAGAAGGAGCAGGAAAACCTTGAGATAGAATTCAGCTTCAGCTCTCAAGTTCTTTAGATGAGTATTAGGTTGTATTATTAGTCTGAACCATATCAGGCAAGGAAGGGAGAGACATAATCACATTGTCAAGGATCTTGGGCATATCCTGAATGATGCAGCTTGGCAAAAACTACAAGTATTCTTCCAGCTTTGCTCTGAGGTGTTTGATGTGAAATTGTCATATCCTATGCACAGTGCAATAAGGAAAAAATACTTCAAGGTGTCCCTTGCTGCAGTCACACTTCGCTTGTATTCCATTGCAATGAATTTAAGACCCTCTCTGGTTATGACCATTTAGACTTGGTGGTAGAAATACATTAGCATATATCTTTTTCAACAGATTGAGTGGTAGATAAAAAGTTATTTACTTAAATGGGATTAATTAATTTCTTTTCATTTTGCATCAAGAATCTAAGCAGAAGAGTAACTGCAAAATCTAAAGAGAACCCCTGCTTCAAGTTTTTGAGGCAACTAACTTGCTAGGCCTCCTTCTGCATGAGATGGGGTGGTGGGAGCAAGCAGCTGTCAGAATAGTGCTGCTCCTTAGAGTGCTAAATGCACGTTAAAAGGAAAAAGCTTATCTGAAATACAGCAGCAGAGAATGAGTCTGCATCTAAAATCTTCTCAACTAACACTCAGATGTTGTCATGGAGTTCAGAGTTAGATTAATTTTTAAAATGTTCAAATAAAATATTTGGAGTTTTTCAAGATAAGACTAAAACCCTAGGAAAACCACTTGACCCTCTCAGTTGACACTATTTTGAGTAGAAGGTTGGAAAGGATGACCTGCTGTTGTCCCATCAAACCAAATTTATCCTATCCTTACTTTTACTGAAATTGAAAATATGTGGAAGTTCAAACAGAATTTTTCTTTTCAAACTGGGTTACTTACTGTCAGAAAAGTAGGCTTTGATATTCCATCACAGGTTAGCTTTTGCAGTCACATGCTTCATGGCAATATTGAGTTTTCTCCTATAAAGTTGGTCACATTTAGACCATAAGCATCATGATCTCAGTACCTCTCTCAACAAGAACTTGCCATTTGTAGAGAAACAGTAAGGACAGAAAAGCTTTTGAGTAGTAACTTACCAAGCATTCCTCAAATATTCCAAGAATTCAGAGGGGACTAGCAGTGTTAGGATTTTCATTATATGTAAAATTGTTCCTTGGTCGCCTATGGGATAGATTATCCAACAGCAGCCTGTGTCAATCTGGTTCAGTTCCTCTAGACTTAAAGGATAGAACTGCAGTTTTCTTAAATTCAGGCAGGCTGAACATTTTTGAAGAACTTGTCACGACTTGATCAAGGGCCTAAATTTAAACAATGTATTGTTCTTCACATTAATCCAGTAGTCACTGATTATGCATTCCTGGAGGAGACAAGCAGGTTTTGGTTATATCCCTGACTATCCAGTGGAGTGGCACAATTCCTTAAAGTACCAGGCTACAAAGCACTATATTTTGTGATGGAAGACGGGAGGGCTCAGATGAAAACTGGGATAGCAGAAACAAAACTACTTTCAGCCTCACCACAAATATTAGTGAAAAAGTTCTTGCACACCTTGCATTAATTTGTTGTACTTTCAACATAGACATAAGACTGAATGTCACAACAAATAATTGGTCCAGCCATAGATACCTAATCCTACACAATGCTTTTTCCGAGTTATGATCTAGACTAAAGTTTATAGCAGCAGGGTAATCCTGTGCATGGGCCGTGCACCAGCCTTATCATGCTCTGACAATGTGCTGCTTTCTGTACCTTCAAGCTACTGGTCAGAAAATACCTTGGGAGCACCCAGGAACATGGGGATTGACTGGTTCCTGTGGTGCCTCTGGCACCAACCTGCCAAAAAGCTAGCCAGCCCTGCTGGGTTGAACATTCAGATGCATGTTTTTGATTCTTTTAAGAGTTCATGTCCACAAGTTACAAGTGCAACTGACTTAATTCTGTGTCTGTTATTTTTGGTGGTGGTGGTGGTTATAGACTTGTTCATTTGGTGTTTTAAATAATATGAACTAGCTTAATTTTCTGTCAAAAAATACTCTTTCTGAACAGCTGTGCAAGTGACTGTTAAGTGGAATTGTTTGTTCCTTTGTGCTTATACTTAAGGCAGCGCCTAGAGAAATTACCTGAGCAACTACATCTATGTGGCCTTTTCCAGAGCACCAGTCTGAAAGATTAAATTTTTTCCCAGTCTGCTCAGCTCAGCTGTACCATCTTAATCTTATTTATTTTAGAAATGAAGTGCTATTTTAGGATACACAAAATTTGCGGGAGTTTAATCCCAGCTTTGAGAATGCATCAAATTTACCACTTTTAGGGAAAAAAGAAACAAAAATTCTACAGTTGGTTGTTTTGCATTTATTTCTTCAGAGCAGACAAATGATGTTGCAATTGCATTCCAAGAGAAACCCCCTTATAAACTCCACCTCTACAAAGCTACTGTCTTCTATATTTGTTTTTAGAGAAGTAAGTTTTATTATTTACATTTTTACAGGCATCAATTAAATTTCAGTTCTGATAGATCGATTCCTTCTTGGCCTGTTTCATATAGACTCACAATGTATGAGCCTAGTTCTTCTTTAGCATGACAGATTTAGCAGTGTGAGATCATGAGTTTGAAGCCTCATAGATGCATCTTCAGGGGGTTTAGCAACATATCTTCACCTATACCAACAGGTGAATAAGTTATGTTAATTTGCACCATTGATCCATACATTCTGACTCCAGATTCTGCAAGGCTGCTCACTTGTCCAGTCTCATTTAAAAAGGCAACATATTTCAATTACTTGAATGAGCTCTACCAGTTTTATGTAGCTCACCTTTGCAAATTAAGCTTTTTTTTTTCTTTGTTTATCCATGGGTGTTCAGTGAAGAATTTGTGACTACACACATATTATATGCACATATATACAGCAGTACATCTTTGATACTCATTCATATATTCAATGCTACTTTTCCCAAATTTATCCTTAAATTGTCATTACTGCTGGAAATGAAATATGCTACCATTTGAAGACCATAGGCTTATTAACCATGGTTGCAGCAGAGGTAGATGGCTTGTCATCTGTACGATAAGGTACTTGTTATCTGATCTGGGGGGGAAGCAAAAGTCCTGATTTTCCCACAACTTCACATTCACTTATAAAACACAAATATGAAAGTTAGACATTGTTTACCATTTCTGGTGGTAAATTTCCTCAAGTAATTCTGACATGTACCTGCAACTAGTGATATATGAAATGTTTGTGCTGTAACTCCTGTTTGGTATTTTGTCAGTAATGTCAGATGTGTTGTGACTCAGTTGGACCGTCACAATGTGTAACCTATATCCTAGCATTCGTGTATTTCAATTGTCTTACATGTTGCATGAAAAAAATGTTTTAAAAATAGATATTTTTTCTATTTTTGAATACCTCAAGACTGAGGAATCATGGGCCAATAAGTGCAATATTTAATTATTTACTCAGTGTATATAAACTTGTGTGAAAGGGAGAAGCATCATGTATGTGTGATAACCTGTTGATGATGACTATGTGGCTTAAGATTTCTAGTAAATGTACACGTCTTGTAGAAATATTATATAGTAAACACTTTACCAGTGTAGTGTAAGAATATTCTTAAGTAACTTAAGCTATTTTTCATATATGAGACTATGGTTACAGATATTTGTATGTTTATAGCAAGTGCATGTCAATTTTACTTTTAGAGTTTTGAGCAACCTTTTTTGAGAATTGTCATGTTACACCAACACTAGTGGGACAGGCCTTCTGTCAGAAAATTATTTACACCATTTATAAAATGTCTGCCTATATTTTTTAAAGCATGTTCTCTAGAAGCATTAAAAGAACCTCTTGGAGCTCAGCATTTATGCTGAGTTAATTATTCTTAAAGAATCAGTTACATGCTCTGTCTGCCTCTATTGCATAATATAATGTGGACACGTTTTCTTTAATATGATACAGTTAACTTATAATACTTACCTGAAATAATAAATAGGGGTACCCAATATTCTTGCAGATGACTTGGCAGACTTTGGCTGGTGCCCTGGTTTAACATGTTTGCAGACAGCTTCAAGGTCACAGTCAGCAGCAGAGCAGTTGACCTAATTGGTAAACACCCTTGGGTACATTTGGGACCTGAAGCCCTGAATCACTGATCTGCCATGGGTTCCCAGCTGTGCCCATAGAGCCTGCAGAAAAGCTCATTCTGTTAATTTTTGCTAAATCTCCAGCTTCAAAGGCATGTGTCATCTGCATTAGGAATTTACTAAACAGACACAGGCCACTGAGTCTGGGCCATGGGGAAGAGCTGGGGAATTGGTTTTGCCAGACAATTTTCCTAAAAAATGTACATTCATTAGTGCCACGCTAAAAGGTACATAAGTAGATTTTTAATTTTATTTAATGCATTTTTGTGACAATTTATGAGGTTGAATCAGTTATGGGTTTTTGTTGTTTTGCTTTGTTTTGTTTTGTTTTGTTTTGTTTTGTTTTGTTTTGTTTTGTTTTGTTTCTAATTTGCTTGATCTGGAAAATAATGAAATTCTAAGGCCTAATGGAAACTGGTATCAAGGGTTTCCTTTCTGATGTCATCAAATACATTCTCTGACAAAGTAAAGCAGCCAAATTGCATTAAGTAGCACATGATAGTACTTGCAATGACCTAAAAAGTCCTTAAAAACCATTATTTGTACCTAATGCCATTAAAACTTCTGCAAAATTATATAGACCAGAGTGAAATTAAAATGTATGTAGATAGAAATTTGGTATTGCTTAATAGAAAAAGGAAATTCTTGTCATCATTGTTGCTGAGCAACAAAGAGTCAGAATATGAGGTACCACTGAAATGGAAATGTACTGCCTGCTACAGGACTCCCTAAACTTTTTATTGTTAAGTGACCTGACAGTTCAAGGGCTGGCAGATAATTTTACCTAGCTTTTTTATAATTCCTCACAGACATGTGATTACATGCACGAAAATAAATGCTTTCCTTGATAACATGTAGCTGTTCTGGTTCTCTCAAACCAACGTGTTTGCTGAACTGTTCTTGAAGAAAAATTGAAGTACGTGTTTAGGATACCTTTGTGAGGGGGTGAGACTCAATCTGTGCCTTCTCCCCCGACTCTTACTGCAATATAGCTACTGTGGTTTTAAAAAATAGGTTAGCTAAAATGCTGCTGGGTGATAAATTTTGTGAATTTTCTCCATAAATCCATGGAAGCTCGTCTGAATGTTCAGTACAAGTTTTATCCACATGGAGAGTTTAATTCTGTGCTGACGTAGCAACCATGTGTATTCCATTGGATATTCTTTTTGTGTGTGACTTCTGTATACCAAGTGGATCTTGTTTGTTTAATTTTTTTGCTGAAAGTTTTTTTTTCCTTTTGCAGTTACAATAAATATTCAAGAGACTATATTCATGAATATCTCAATTGTGGTGACATGGTCTTACACTCCACCCCTCTCCCTCCATTTATTTCCTTTTACTTACTAAAACTGGAAAAGAATAACTACATTTTTTACTAAATGATCAACCAAGATACCACATCTGCAGTAATTCATTTCATTGTAGATCTGTACGATTTCCACAGAACTCTCTGGGAACTTTGCCCTAATAGTCTGAAAGATAAACATTTGTTAGACATTTCCCTAGCAAAAGCACGCTGCCTCTAAGGTGACTCTTCAAAATAGGGCATTTTTTCTTTTGATTTTTTTCACAGTCTAAACTGCTTAACAGTATATGTGCTTTTTGGACACTGTTATTACTTCATCATGTAATCTTAGTTCAAATGCACCATCTCAGTTGTGGTGGGTGGTTATTTCACACAAATTATGATGCATCACTGTCCAGTTTTGGCTTTTTCCAACACTTACACGCACACTTGTTCTAGTTGGAACCCTGTCATGACTCCTGAATTTATTTTGCCTCCACATAAATCCTAATCTTCAATCAGTTTGTTAATCAGGTTTCACCATCCCCTGTCCCACTCAACTCCTGTGAGCAGGTGCCTACCTACAAACTCCTTTAGCATGTGTCCCTTCTCACTGTTCTACTGTGTTCCAGCCAAGTCCCCCTATTTTTTCTAGTATATTTACATGTCATCTGTAAAATATCTCATGATAATTGCTTGATTTTCTCTCAACATTGAGTGCTTCCTTGCTTGCTGTTTGTGATCCTGTATCTCTAGACAGGTTTTTGCTGAAGATTCTGCTTGTGCGGCTCACTGCCCTCACACAGAGAGCATCTTTTTGTAGCATGGACTCTTGTCACCAAATCACATCTGAGAATGAAGCTCCTTCATTCCTTCCAGATACTGGCAAATGTAGTGTCTTTTTCATCTACCTCCCTCATTCCATTGCTTTCTGAGATCTGTCCTAATGTACTTGCTCTGTGTATTAGAGAGAGTGGAAGACAAGAAAATGAGGTGTAAGAGGGAAAGGATAGCAGGGAAAAGACAGATAATTTCTGATGGATTCCTTGGAATGAGAAAATTTTTAGCTGATTTTATTTTGAACATGCTGAAAGTTTTAAAGAACTAAACTAGTGAAAGTCACAGATGGGTAGATAGATGAGAAAAGTGATCTATCAGGATAAAAACTCTCTCAGCAATAGTATTTCTTGCTCAAGGAATACAATTTTTATCCTATTTCCAGTCAGAAGGCTGAAGCCAAAATGTTTCTAACTATCAAAAAAAAAAAAAAATGTCAAACAGGCAGAATATCCCAGTGAAGTAAGAGTGGGCGACTTAGCAATGTGATCCACCAAAACTGAGAAAAACAAGTTGTGGCTTACGCCCAAATGAGGGGAGTCAGCAAGTAGTGGAAAACTGAGGGTTAGTTGCATTTTGTATAGATCTGGGCAACTCTTGAGCTGCAAAGTGAAAAACAGAGGTGCCATCAAAAAGCTGAAATGTCTTTCTACACCTGTGTACCTGTTGGCACTAATGCAAGATCCTGAAGAAATTAACTGTAAGACAGAAGATTTACAATGTAATTGTCTCTTGTGAAAAAGGGATGTGCTTTAAACCATAGTGAACACAGGTCATCAGCGGCAGGCACAGACTGTAGGAAGCTGGTATGAGATCTTGTTCTCTATGATATCCCAGCCAGGGTGTCTTCTGTTGGGTCTGGTCCTAATGCTCCACTGGGGTTGGAGAAGCTGGAGGTGATGAATGAGTGGCAGGATGAAAAGGCTCCAGCCCTGGCTAAGCCTAGGAGGGAACACAGGCAGCTCTGCAACCCACTGCAGTGCAATGGAAAATGAGACCAGAGACTGTTCCATCTGAGGAAAAATTGTGTGAAAGGTGCAAATCCCACCCAAACTCCCAGTTGTTGGGAAGATAAAAAACATTGTCTTCGAGAGTTAGGAACTCTGGTATTACACTCTTCACTTCCTAACAGCTGCCCCTGAGGAGGCTATCTGGGGTCTCCACAAGAAGCATCGTGGTTTCCTGAGGAGACACAGCTTTTTCCTCATATTCAAGCAAATGTGAAGAGTGACCTTGGACTGCCAAATTATCATCCCTATTGAGGCAGTGTATCTAATCCAAATCAATTGTGCTAGGTACAGACAATCAGCATGCTCACAGCAGAGCAGCTACACTCTGTGGCCCCTACAGGGTGTTCTGAGGCCCCAGGAAGTGCATACTCTCTTGTTTCAAGTAAATGCCTGCGGTTAGAGAACAAGCACGTGAATAGCTGCAGAGCATCTGGGGATGTCACACAAAATAACTGTGTCTAACCAGACTATAGATTTTAAAGCTTAGATAGGATTCTAGAAATAAAATCTCTGCCCTGCTTTTCTTTCAAGAAGATTTGCCCTAAGAGATATATCTTCATTTTTATTGTTTTCTTCAATACTTTTCCAAGCAGGAGAAGGCTTAGCTCCTGACTCCAGCAGCTCCAGTCCCTGTGCAGGCCAGCAGCACAGTGCACACAGCCCAGCCACCCGTGCCCTGCAGCCATCGGTTCAGGCAGCATCTGCTCAGTGTCTCAGAGTGGAACCTGCCTTTGGACTGTCTCTTTTATTTCTGCTGGGGAACAACACCATAAATTGTGTGGAAAGTAAAGCCCACTCCAAACTGAAGTGTCTCTCTTCAGTAACTAACAACAGGGAGATGAGTTTTGCCTTTGCTGCATGAGGGCACCTAACCATCCACATGCCACCTGGCATAGCAGAAAGACACCAAGGTTTTGCTCTATGTCCTAGTTTAGGGCAAATTTGGGAGAAAAACTCTGGATGGAGCCCCCAGAAAACAAACCCCCACAGCCCCTCCCCACCCACATGGTTTGGGAAAAATTTTCTCTGAGAGAAATGGAAAAGAACCTGTTTATTTAACAAACAAGACACTCACCAGCACCAAAGAAAAAAAAAATTAACAACACCAGATGACAACAAAATTCTTTCACCACTCTGAAGAGATGACAAATCCAGAAAGTCTTTCCTGGGAGTGGTCGCCCAGGTCTGGATGCTGGGGATTGCTCTCCAGCCCTGAGGATATCTGCTGCAGATCACAGAGCACAGGCTCTCGGTGTTCCTCGGTGTTTCCCAGGTCCCAGTCTGGGGCAGGTTGGAGGGTATTCACGGAACAGAAAGGAAAAAGAAACAGTCCAGGGAAAGAATTAGACTGCTTAGCTAAACTAACTAAAAAGCAAAGGCAAAAGCAGAAGCAAGCAAGCAAAGCAAAGCAAGTGAAAGCCAGCAAGTAAAGCAAAGCAAGCCAGCCCGCACTAGCCTCTTCTAGACAGCAGACCATGGGGGGAGGTGAGCCGGCTGATAACAAGGCAAAACAAACCTTCACTTTCAGAGTCAGTTCTGAAAGCACAGAACATAATATCAAACATAAACAGAACACACGATTGGAGATACAAACACCATAACGTCACCCTAGGACATTCCAACCCTTATCTCCATATCTTCAACATCATGTAAAACCTCCATCAAGTAAAAACTTCCATCTTTCACTTACTCATACACATTTCCTTCCTTCTCACTTACTCAAACCTTTGACACTTACACATTTCCTTCTGTCTCATGTCTGTGTGTTTTCATGTACAGACACTGGCAGTAACATCCAGCAAACAGTGATATTTGCACATGAGTCTCACCCCACAATCAGATCTCCCTGAGGTACACATTGCTCCATCTCTCTGCATTATCCACCATGTACAACCTGGTCCCTGAGCAAAGGCAATCCCACAAATGGGTTTGTCTGTACTCGAGGCAGAATTGATCCACACTGATTTCCCTAACAAACCTATGACATGTGCCACTGGAACTTTATCTCCATCTACTATATTCAGGGTCTCAGACTGGGCAGGACCTGCTCGACTGGTGGAACCTTGGTTGTTAACTAGCCAGGTGGCCTTTGCTAAATGTTGCTCCCAATTTTTGAAAGATCCCCCACCCAATGCTTTCAAGGTGGTTTTTAACAGTCCATTGTACCTCTCCACTTTGCCGGCAGCTGGTGCATGGTAGGGGATGTGGTACACCCACTCAGTGACATGTTTCCTAGCCCAGGTGTTGATAAGGCCATTCTTGAAATGAGTCCCATTATCTGACTCAATCCTCTCAGGGGTGCTATGCCTCCAAAGGACCTGCTTTCCAAGGCCCAGAATGGTGTTACAGGCTGTAGCATGAGACACAGGGTAGGTTTCCAACCCTCCAGTGGTGGCTTCCACCATGGTCAGCACGTAGCGCTTCCCTTGGAATGTCTGGGGCAGTGTGATGTAGTCAATCTGTCAGGCCTCCCCATACTTCTACTTGGACCACCTCCCACCATACCACAGGGGCTTCACCTGCCTGGCCTGTTTGATGGCAGCACACATCTCACAGTCATGGATCACCTGAGAAACACTATCCATGGTTAGATCTACTCCTCGTGCCCACATATAAGTGCATCTCTACCCTGATGGCCTGAGACATTATGGGCCCATTGTCCTAGGAACAACTCTCCCTTGTGTTCCCAATCAAAGTCTATCTTTGACACCCTTATCTTTGCAGCCTGATCTACCTGCTGATTGTTTTGCTGCTCTTCATTAACTCTGCTCTTGGAAACATGGACATCTTCGTGGCAAACCTTTACAGGTAGCTTCTCTAGCCGGGTAGCAATATCTTTCCATTCTTCAGCAGCCCAAATTGGTTGTCCTCTATGCTCCAGTTAGCCTCTTTCCACCTCTCTAGCCACCCCCATAGAGAATGGGCTACCATCCATGCATCAGTATAGAGGCAGAGCTTTGGCCAATTCTCCCTTTCTGCAATGTCTAGGGCCAGTTGAATGGCTTTGAGTTCAGCAAGCTGGCTTGATCCACCTTCTCCTTCTTGTTGGCTGGTGGGGACATAGCTATGATCTTGTTGATGACATCTGTCATCTGTAGGATGATGACAGATGACAGATGTCATCTGTAGGAATCTGATGCCATCC